TCCTTTTTCATTGTTTTTATTTTTAATTATTTTGACAAAGATAACAAAATAATGGATAATTTCTGTCTAACGGAGCAAAAATGTTTGAACGAAAGTCACATTAATTAGGACATGTGTCACACAGCTATTACGTGCTTACTCATTATGCTTACCTAACGTGCCTACTACATCCGGACCCTCATTTGTCATCGTCACCAATATGATTGATACATTATCTCTATCTAGCAATAGAACCAAGAAGCAATTTTCATTAGATAGCTAAGGGTGTATTCCGAAACATGATTGGTTTTTTTTTTCAAAATAAAAAACAAGTACGCTATATAACCAAAATTAATGGAATTTCATTTTATAATTTGTTTTTATTTTGAAAAATAAAATCATACACCTTTGGCAAAGACCCCTTAAGATTAATAGAATTTCATCTTTAGCATACATCTCATATTGCAACAATTTTTTACAAGCTTATTGTGATAATCTTCTAAGTAATAGTTTATTTTTCCTTCATGGGGCTAAACAACGGAGGTAAGTAGCTATAGTCCGGATCACCTGCCAACAAAATATATTCTTATATCTTATCAACATCATCTGATACGGAAAATCTCATACATGGTAAATCCCACTTTTATGACGGGTCCTAATTTCATAGTAAAATGTGTGGTGTCAGATAAATTAGTAGCAGTGAGTTGGAAACGTGTTTTATTGGCAGGAGATCCCAATTTAACTAGCCCATCACCCCATATCCCCCAACCTTGGTGGCAGCTGAATTTGATCCCAGATCCTACTACAACGAATCAAAGATCCTAAATCATGCCAACCAAAATCTGCTTACATCAGAGTTCTCCACTTTCAACCGTGTTAATCCTTATTCTGCCTACAAGCTACATGGAGAGAGCTAGAGCAAAAGGTTTTGATTTTTTCACGATGTTGACAAACGTTTGTTGATTTGTCATTTTCCTATGGACAGCACTTAACGTGGAAATATTGACCGCAAATCAAGTTGCTCACAATTAAGGGTGTCAATTGTACCAGATTTGTCCAATTCAATGCAGTCCAATATAAGTCCATTGCAGATAGATCAGGTCCAATCCAATGAATATTCTGGGCTATTTTGCGGACTGTTCAATCTATTCAGATTGATTTTAATTTAGATTAGTTCCAATCCAAATCTGGTCCTATCTTCTATCAATGGACTTGATATTGGTTCTATCTRACACAATCTAATATAAATCCATTAGGAATGGACCAATACCAATCCAATCCAATAAATACTTGGATGATTAAATCTGCAATGATCCAATTTAATATGTCTTATCGGTCCGTCCAATCCATTTAAATTGACTTTGATTTGGACGGGGTCCAAACCCAAAACTAATTAAGTCCATTGACACCCCTACTCACAACCTTGTGAAGCACTTTCTATCCCTTCATCGATGCATTAGCTGGTCTGATTCTCCTCCTCTTTCTATTGCTTCACTTATTCACGAGGATCTCTATGTAATTACATGTTTGGTTGGTGAATGAATTAAGCGTAAGTGTTATTTTCAAAAAATAAAAAACACCTCAACAAACACAATATGATTTTATGGTATCTTAAAGAATCAACAAGTACTTACTTGTGTGGTTGGAAGTTGGGTTGTGAAGAATTTCAATTACATTGGATTTGGGTTAGGGTTCAGGTCTATTGAAAATTTGACAAATTCCCATACCAACATGACCCAAATTGCACTCATTTTTATGTCTTTTTTCTATTATGATAAACTACTATAAAAGTGAATTTTAGTATGAGAGTGATCACTTTATTCAAAGAAAATGCCAAAAGTTAAGTCCATATCTAATTACATCTCTTGGCCCTTAAAAAAATATCAAGTTGGGTTTTTCTCCTACCAATATATTGAATACACCATGCTGAGTGAAAACCTTCTTTCATGTACAAGTTTTTACATAGAAAAAATTGTATGAATTTTGTGAAATCATGTTCCATGGCTCAAATTCATAGTCAATCCTATTCTCATAGGAGTAGCTGATTTGAATCCAATTTTTGCTTCCCTTAAATTTCATATTCATAATAGTGCAAAAAGGAAGCGCACCTTCAAATTGAGTTTACCGAGCTTATGGTAGTCAACTCCACTTCAGCTTCAACCATTAAGGAGCTTTCAACCTCTTAAATATCTTAGGGCCTGTTTGGCTTATGGGAATAGGGGTCTGGGATCTGAATCGGAATGGGTCCAACTATTTGGTTGGGGGGAACTGGAATCCCATTTCCATTCCTGCTGGAATGGCCATTCCCACCCCTCCCTTGGGAATGAAATTCCATTTCAGTTTATTCCAATTTCTGTATAAACCAAACAATCCCTTAGTTTTATCTTTTAATGGGAGCATAACTGTAGGGTGTAAAAGGACTCTAACTGGTAGGGATGCTTATAGTTCGGTTAAACGAATCATGGGCCTATTTTTGAAACCAAACCGGTACTACTGGTTTATGGAAAAATGGTAACTAAAATTGAACCAAAGCGGACAGGTTAATCGGCGGCTCGGTTCGTCATTTTTTTGGTTTTTTGTTTTTACAATATATATTATAAATATATAATTATATAATAAAAAACTAAATATATATAATATTATATTTTAAGTAATAAATAATATATTATAAATTTATATATAATGCATATTTATTAATTCATTATATATAAAATATATATAATATACATAAATACATATAAAATATATAGAAATATATGTATACCAGTTGGTTCAATTAACTACCAGTTTTCTATATTGGTTAGCCGAAACCGAACTGGTACCTTTGGTCTTTTAAAAATACCAAAGCAAAAGGTTACCGAACCGGTTGGTTTGGTTTTGGTTGATTTTTTATTTGATTTGGTTTTTCGGTTTTTCTTGCTCACCCCTACTAACTGGTTGTAATGAGAGGGTTGCTCCTCTTGTGTAGCCCATTATCACACACATATATACAATAATAATAATAATAATAATAATAATAAATAAATGTTAAAAGAAAGAAACCTAGTTATCTCCCAAAGCCAACATGAGTTTTTCTTTTCCTTTTTATTTTAATTTGCTCTTCATCCATTACAAGGAGGCCCATACAGATAGGACCATAATATTTTATAATTCATGGAATCTCTATAAATGTTAAAAGAAAGAAACCTAGTTATCTCCCAAATCCAACATGAGTTTTTCTTTTTTTTTTCCTTCTTTATTTTAATTTGCTCTTCATCCATTACAAGGAGGCCCATACAGATAGGACCATAATATTTTATAATTCATGGAATCTCTAATAATTACTCTTAGGTAATGAGTTATAATGATTTTCTCTTTTGTTTGTCACCCTTTTGCAAATTGGTATAGATTCTGATCTGCTACCAACAAAAGCACTCCCAACCTGTCCTGACAGGCCACTGCAGCCGCACATTGTGAGTAGGGGTGTAAACGTGTTGAATTCGAATCGGATCAGGCAATATCTGAATTTGAATATGATTAGAAAATCCAATATTTGAATTCGATTTGATATTCGACGGATATTGAAAATTAATATCCAAATTCGAATCCGATTAAATATTCGAATATTCAATTCGATTAATTAATTATTTTAGATAATTAATAAATATATAAAATAAATATTTTATTGATATAAAGTATATATATATAAATTATTTATATAACTTAATTATTATATATATTATATAAAATATTTTATATATTATATATAAGAATTAAATAATCGGTCGAATTCGGATATTTATCGAATCGAATCAAGCCATATCTGAATTCGAGTCTGATTAACTATTCGGTAAGAATAGGATATCCAAATTCGACCGATTAGATATTCAAATTATCCGAATTGATTCGATTATGTCGAATATCGAATTCGAAATCGGATTTTCGAATACCGCTGACACCCTTAATTGTGAAGTATTGTACATGTTTTTTTCCTGAGATGTAGGTTGCATTGTTTTTTACTTTGTGCTAAACATTTTAGTTCCCAGTGTTTTGTTTTTTTGTTTCTTCCCTTTTTTGGATTATTGATTTTTTTTTTTGAAAAACAGATTGTCAATTATTGATTAATGGTCTTAGATATAAATTTAAATTGTGTGTTGTACAAAAACATTTTCTTTCAAAAAGGATTCACTATGATACCAGAAAGACATGATATCCAAAAAGATTTGTGAATACTATGTTTGGTTTGAAGGAAAGTGTAGGAAAAAGTAGGGAAACTTATACAAGATTTATAAAGGTTTCCCTACCTTTCCCTACTTTTTCCTTCAAACCAAACATAACCTTATTTTACAAAAAATAAAAGAAAACATAATACACGTTGTTGTGGATCACCCCACACCACATTTTATAGAACAACTAGTGGGCTGTAGAACCGTTGTAACAAATCATTGTGGGGTGGGCCATGACTCACCAGTTTAGGTCATGGGTTTAGAGGTCATGGAAATGATTTAACAGGGCCCATGGGCCTTAATATTTCCCATCATCCATTTTCATTGCACGATTCGTCACATGATCGTAAATTCGTAATACGACATGGTCCATATAGGAGAGAAAGTGAGACCTGCATTAATGCGTTATTAGGGCTGCAATTCTGCAAATTAAACCTATTCGAACTTGAATTGGATTGGTCTATTTACAATTGGATCGAATATGGATTCGTACATATACATAGTGCACAAATATGGATTCATAAATAATTCAATTCGATTTAGTTTATATGTATTCCTATATATACGTAAAATTTATATTGTTTCTAATTTCTATTAATAAAATTATGGGTCTAAGCTTCATACAGTTTATTTTCGTTTCATCTTGTCAATGGTATGTAATATTAGTCATTTTTAGTTTATTTTGTTAATAAAATATAATTTCCTGAAAAAAGATTGATTCGCGAATCCGAAATGAAGCTGACGGATGAGATTCGATTCGAATATGAACGTCAATGGGATCATACAGTCAATTTCCTTCAACTGTCAGGTGTCAGCCCCGCCCAACTCAATTCTGACCTTTCGTTGTTGGGGTCACAAACTCTTCTTTTCCTCTCTTCCTGAATTCTAAAAACGGTTCTCTTCCAATGAACAGTCTCTGATTCTGAAATTTCTGCCGAATCGATAAAATTTTTCTTCCATCTGAAATCCGCAATTCTAACTTTTATCTATAGGTGGTAAGAACCAATGTAATGTTGTACGGACCGGGAACAATTTCTGGACGAGAATCAGCTGCTTAGGGTTTTCTGCCAATCGAAGGTATTGTCCTCGTGGTTGGCTCTCGGCTGTTCTTCTCCGTGGGAGGACTCTGGAGTCTAAATCATGCCGTCGAACCATTTCCAGAACGGTATTGAGAAGGCGAAGCATGTCTGGTCTCGACTGCCAAGCTCGGAGGAAGCTGAAGAACAAGATGGAGTGGAATTATCGAGGAAGCGTAATGGCACCAACGTCGAGAGTCTCGATTATGAAGTCATCGAGAATTACGCCTATAGGAAACAACAGGTTATGTTTCTTGGGTTTCTGTGGAGATTCGTGAGATAGAATTTGTTCTGAAATTGCTGTTTTCCCTGATCTTTTCTTTGTATTTCGAAACAGGCGCAAAGGGGAAGGCTATATATTGGATGTTATGTTGCGGTGAAATGGTTCTTTGCATTGCTCATTGGAATCGGTAAGAGGATAGGGATATCTCTCTAGCCGTGTTCTTGTGATAATTTTGTTTTATTTAATTTGAGTGGTTATATAAGTGCCTTGCATAAAATGTTGCCTCGAACTTCCTTGTACGTGGAATTTCATTTGTTAAGTCCCAAAATTTAATGGTATAGAATATAGATCAATATCTCAGTTCAGTTTTATTTCAGTAAATGTGCTATTAAAGATGCCAAAAGATCTTAACTAGTATAATGTTAAATTCGGTAACCCAATTCTGCTTCTCATGGGAATTGCCCTGATTGGGATTGTTATAGTTCAATGATGTTAATGTTCTTGCTGACAGAATAGATTAGCTAGAATCAAAATTTGCCTCCCAGGAATTTCCTGGGCAGGTGGTTATACTATAATGTCTTTTTTTTTTTATATTTTTAATTCAATCTTACTGTAATGTCAAAGCATAGTATTACAACTAGAGTTCTATTGTTTCTCTTTCAGTTCGTTAAAATTTGTAGGAATAATTTTATGGAATAAATATCAATCTATGTTTTTTTTTTCTTCTTTTCTTTTCTGATTGGTAGCGGTAAAGTTCTATTGGTTGTGTATAAAGAATCAATTATGCATAGCAGTCAGCCAAAAATATTAGACCATCAAAAAGCTACCTAACCCAACTTCTAGTTTACATTATTAGTTACTCCAAACCAATTGTCCCCTGCTTATTCCTTGTTTTTCTAGTAAACCAGATACTCCATTTGCTATCTTTGAGTCCAAGAGAGTGTGATGTCCATTGCATTCTTGATTCATCAAGTATTTTTTTTTCCTTTCATGTTGTTTCCGCACTAACACATGACTGGTTTTTCATTTTTCAGCTAGCTTATAACTACCCTAGAATCCCCTCCGACCCACTAAGCTCAAGTAATCCAATGTCCTAGCCATCCTAAGGCTCTGTGGAGCAGCTAGTAGTTCTGCTCTTTGTCGATGTACTGGCTCCTATTGGCTTCCAAGAATATTGCTAAAATGGTTCCTTGCTCATATCTCAGCATTACTTGAATTCCCAAAGGTCCTGGATTACCGAAGTTGCATCCATCAAAGTTTAGTTTGAATCGATGGGTAATAGGTGGGCTTCATGATGCCAGGAATACACTTCCAATGCCACTCTCTACAGATGCCATTAATAGACAAAGATGCAAAATTATCAAGGGCTTTGACCCAATGCAACATTCATACTATTATGCTCTCCTTGATTGCATCTGAAGGCTGCATCTTCCTATTGATGATCCTCTCAATCTAAGTTTCTTAGTTGTATCTTTAAATCACAAAATGCAAGTTCACTAATTAAACCCATCGCCCCGTGCAAGTTGATTAGTTAAGCCCATGACCCCATGCAAATTGACTAGTTAAGCCCTCCACGTACAACCAAATAAAGGGCCTTATTCTTTTCTTATTTTTAGGAAATATATTCATTGGATCATAGTTGTCCACTATAGAAGGCATAGCAAAGGGTGGAGTTCAGAAGTTGAAGAGAAGAGAGAGAGATGGGAAAATATTATAAATAATAGTATTGAATGTGATATTGCATTGAGGCTAAAATTGTTAAACAAACTTGTGAGTAGAAGTCCTCATTCTTTTTTTCTTTTATTTTTGAAAATTTATACATTAAATCATAGTTATCCGTAATAAAAGGCCTAGCAAGAGGATGGACTTTAGAAGTTGAAGAGAAGAGAGATGAGAAAATGTTACAAATGGTAATGTAAACCTTCTTGGCTGAACAAAAAGGAGAGTACAAGAGACTTAGGAGTGTCTAGAATAATTGACCTCCACTTCAAAGAGTCACTTATATATTAAAGTGAATGCACAATTACAAGAATGCCCATGTGGGGCAGAAAGATAAAAAAAATAAAAGAATACATATAAACATAAACAATGAAATGTGCAATAGGGACTATACTAATAAGGTACATCAAGTCTTACAGTCTCCACACTCCCCCTCAAACTGATGTATAGATATAAGCATCGGTTTGTCTACAAGAAAGAAATGTAGAGCTCTAGTCATGACCTTAGTGAAGATATCAACAGTTTGCATGTCCGAGGCCACATGAGATAGATCCAGTAGTGAAAAGGTCTCTAATGAAATGACAATCCACTTTGATGTGCTTAGTCCTCTCATGAAAGACAGGGTTAGATGCAATTTTGATAGCACTTGTATTGTCTGCATAGAGAGGAATAGGAGTAGGAAGTGAATTACCAAGGTTTGCAAAGGGAGATTGTAGCTAAACAATCTCACTGCAAATTGAAGATATAGCTCTATACTCGGCTTCAGTGGAAGATTTGGAGACAATCTGCTGCTTCTTACACTTCCAGGAGATAAGAAAATTACCCATAAAAACACACCATCTAGAAGTAGATCTACAAGTGTTAGGGCAACCAGACGAATTTGTATCAACATATGCTCTCAACTGAATGGGTGAGGAGGAGAAGAACAGCCCCTGAGAAATTATGCCTCTGACATAGCGAATAGTGCGATGGACAATAGCTATACGAGGCTAACAAGGAGTAGAGACAAACTAACAACCTAAACAGCATGTGAAGTATTAGGACGAGTCATGGTGAGATAGAGGTGTGTGTTGCATGAGGTGGTAGGGGAAGCTCAAATGGCTTTTGTAGAAGGGAGACAAATACTGGATGAGGTGTTAGTGGCTAGTGAATGCATTGATTCATGATTAAGAAGTGCTAGACCAGGTTTGATTTGTAAAATTGATTTTGAGAAGGCTTATGACCATGTGGTGTGGGGATTCCTAGAAGAAATCCAAAGCTTTATAGGGTTTGGGGAGAAGTGGAGGGCCTGGATGTTTGCATGCATGTCTACTGTATCTTTCTCAATTCTGCTGAATGGAATCTCATCAGAATTCTTTCAGGCTTCTAGGGGTCTTGTTATTAGAAAGGAGTGGTCAAGTGGGGCTGATAGAGGGTTTCAAGGTGGGCAGCGATGGACCTATCATATCTCACCTACAGTATGCAGATGACACTCTAATCTTCCTGGATGCAAAGGTAGAACAGATTCTAAACTTGAGGGCAATCTTGGCAAGTTTTGAGATGCAGTCAGGGCTGAAGATAAATCTATCCAAAAGCACAATAATTGCAGTTGGGGAAGTTGGGAGTGAAGTGTTGATGGAGTGTGCTGATGTCATGGAGTGCGGAATTGGTGAGTTCCCATTTACATACTTGGGATTACCAATTGGTGGTGCAGTGAAGTCAGAGAACCTTTGGAAACCACTCTTGGAAAGGGTTGAAAAGAGGTTAGATGGGTGGAAAGCCAAGTATTTATCTTTGGGAGGGGGGGAAGGGTGACACTAGAAGTGTTCTTTCCAGTCTTCCGACATACTACCTATCTTTGCTGAAAATTCCACCTAAGGTGGCAGATAGGATTGAGAAGCTCCAAAGGGTTTTCTTTGGGAGGGGGTGAGAGGGGGAGGAGTGGGAAGAAAATTTCATTTGGTAAGCTGGGATAGGGTGTGCAGGCCAAAGGAGAGGGGAGGGCTAGGGATAAGGAGAGTGGAAATTTTCAATAGGGCTTTGTTGGGGAAGTGGTTGTGGAGGTTCAGCTTAGGAGGGGAGGAGAATTCATTGTGGAGGAGGGCTGTGGTGGGGAAGTATGGAGTTGTGAGATTTGGTTGGGAATCAAAGAAGGTGAGGGATTCCTATGGGCCGAGTGTGTGGAAGGGGATCATGACCTTCAACAAGGAATTCAGGGACCTAACAAGCTTTGTAGTAGTGGTGTGGGGTGGGACGGCTCTGTTACCTATGTCCAAGACTGTATAGATTAACAGAGGTGGAAGTCACTATTAGTGGTTGCTATGAAAGGAGGGGAGAGCAGCTGATCTGGAGTCCGAAATTCAGGAGGCCTTTATTGAACAGAGAAGTTGAAGAATGCATTTCTCTCTTGGAGAAACTGGAGGATATAAAACCTACAATTCAGCTCAGAGACAAGCTTTGGTGGAAAGAGTGCAAGAATGGAAAGTTTACAGTAATGTCATGTTATCTGGCTCTCAGCAGATCTATCTCAGATGTGAATCACATTAAGGGCATTTGGGGAAACCCAGTTCCTCCAAGAGTGGAAGTTCTGGCTTGGCTGATAGCAATGGACAGCATTTTGACAGCCGATCACTTGAAATCCAGAGGCTTTAACATGGCTTCCAGATGCTGCCTTTGTGAGGAGCAGGAGGAGAACATGATTCACCTATTCATCTCATGTGACTTCTCAAGATTCCTGTGGAATGTGTTTACTTCCATTTTTAGGGTCTCTGGATTTCACCCAACCACAACAGCTGAGATTTTTTCAACATGGCCTAGGCTGTCCGGGTGCAAGAAAGTGAGGTTACTATGGAGTTGTATCCCATTTGCAATATGTTGGAACATATGGAAGGAAAGGAACAGGAGGACTTTTGAAGACAAGGCTTGTAGCATGGAGAAGATGGTTGCAGCTATGGGCAGATCAGTGGTAGAATGGGTGTTGATTCTTCCTGAATTCAGTCAACAAAAAAAGGAGGATTTTGGGAGTGGGTTAGGAGAGATTTTGGGATATCAAGTATGTAGTGTAGAGCCTTTTATCTAATTTGATAGAAGGCTCTTTTGTTTTTCTTTGTTTTCGGGTGCTGTCTCATCACCCTGATCTGTAATTTCTTTTCTTTTAATAAAATTTTTGCCATTTACTTATAAAAAAATAGATCCCATAAGCTGGCAATATAGGGTAGCATCAGGTAGCAACTGACAATCAGATTTAGATAATTTAACATTCAGCTCTAGAGGTGTTTCAACGTGTTTCTTGTCAGTGAGGCTGAGAAGTTTGACTAGATCAGAAGCATATTTCTACTGGCAAACAAAGTATCCCTGATTATTGTGATGAACTTCCAAGCCCAAAAAATAGGTGAGAGGGCCCAAGTCCTTCATGTGAATCATGAAGTAAGGACTTCAACTCCTGAAAGCTTTCATGATCATTGCCAGTCAACAACATATCATCAACAT